AAAATGTCACTTTTAAAAACCAGTTTTAACCTTGGAAAGAATCCCCCAAAAAACAGAGAGCAACTTTTGATCCTCCTATAGCTAGTTAGGGGATAGCCTAATTGGACACAATCGATATTATTATTAAAACATCCTTAGTTATTTTCAGAGATTTACATGACATTGGTTGCTATGCAAAAGTGATTGATGGTTGCCAGCAGCTTGACAAGGAGACAAGGTAAATAAGTACTCCAAAGGGACATTTTACAGACTTCCTTTTCTCTTTTTCCGATTTCATTTATTTTCTCCTTCCTTCCATATTTTGAACTCTACTCTAGCCAATTAGTTTAAGAGTTACTCTTTGATTTCGGATTATTCTCTCATTTCTAAAGGGTAGTTATGTGCTGTTCCAGCCCCACTGAAGGTTTTTTTGGCTTGAACAAAAATATGTACAGTAAACAATGCACAAGTAGAGTTTGCTTTATTTTCAGAAATTTGTGAATTTTGAACATTGTCAGCAATGAAGGGTATTGATATTATATTTTTTTCAGAGTATTTGGTTTGCCTGCTGACTTCAAAGAAGGGGTAGTTTTTAGTACATACGCCACTTTAGTATCATCTGTCCAAAAAGGTACATATCAATTTATTATTATCCCTTTGGTGTCCCATCTTAGTAAAGTACTATGTTTAGGTTTCCTTCAATTTAACTCGCCTAACTAGATCCCTTAATAATTATTATGGCCAGAGACGACATTGGAGTAATTAGGGAAAATTGACATGTTGACCTTAGTTCAGTGAACTCAGATTTGCCAAATGAATGTTGTCCTTTTTTACCAGGCACTAATCGTCAAAGCAGACTGCAGCAGTTGATCGACTGGTGTGGCGGAGAGCAGTTCAATGGCTGCCTAATATTTGACGAGTGTCATAAGGCAAAGCATTTTGTACCAGTAAGTGACTTACTTATGTTTTCTGTTGCTGTAAAGCATCTAAGATATGTTATTTTGATAAATTTCTTATTACACATCAGTGTTGTTGAACTGAGTTACATACCTATCTGGATTAACCAAGTTACCAATGTGGTGGCTGTTGATTAAAGCTGCAAGATTTTATCCTTGGTCTTTTTGGTTTACAACCATCTTGTGAAAATACCAGTCTCCTTGCATACCAGTTACATGTAACTGGCACCCAATTATCATGATAAAAATGTAAATTTTGTCATGGTTTTTCAATTTTGTCTTCACTGAACCAACAACAAAGCTTCACTTTTTTGAAAATAATGTGAATGAAGTATTCAAAATTTTTGAAAATTTTATTTCATTCTTACTTCACTTTTTGTGTTGTGCTATTTTTAATTAAGGGCAAAGAGGAAACAAGTACAAAAGTTGCCCTTGCTGTCACAATGCTACAAAGGTAATATTTAAATTGAAGAGGTAAATTTTGTAATGATTCCCTGTTATGTTTTGAAAGGGGCTTTTTTGGTTGGAATGTACTTATCTCTGGAAAGGGTTTGAGAATCGTCTCATTATTACTTGCCCGTTAGACACAAACTTAGTTGTCTCTGCCAATCTGCTCATTAAAACATGACCTCAAGTTATAAGTCACTTGACATGTAAGGCTAAGTAATAATAATAATGATAATAAGTAAGTGTTCAGACAAATTATTTGCAGAGAGCTTTTTTGACGCGTAGTCGTAGAACACAACACTTTAATCCAGGTCATCTCATGATTGTGTACAACTTTCAAATTACAGACATTTCCACCATTTGTGTTGTCTTGAATTGATATATGCCTACAGTAAAAACTGAACAAAGAAAAGTACCTAAATTAACAACACATTGGGGTAAAGGGAAATTGTAAACCTCATACTTACATATTCTGTGCGATAAATGGGGGGAAAAGTACAAAAACTGTTACAAACAAACATAGAAATCGCAGTCCCTGACATGAAACTACTTTTCAGACAAAAACCGTGTTAAAAGGTGAACTGATCAACATGACATGAGTGTGGGACGAGGAAAAAATCTGAGTCCCCGGGGCACTCAGATTTTTTCTTTGTTCCGTGCTCATGTCATGTTAATCAGTTCACTTTTCACATTTCATTACCAAGCTTAAAACTCACCATCTTTGTTCACTTATCACAAAAACCATATTCTACCGAGCCACATGACCTAATCAATATCAGTTTGTTCATTTGGCCACTTGTTGGCCCCAGCAGTAAGGCGTCCAGTCTGATATTCAGTATCTCAACTTTGTAGGATCCTTCCAAAAGCTCGTGTTGTGTACTGCAGTGCAACTGGCGTAACGGATGTTAAAAATATGGTAAATAAATATAGTTTTAAGTATACATGTAAGTTCATTTTAGATGACAAAATTTGTAAAGAAATGGCTGCGTTTCAATTCTTACGTGATTGCTTGTCATCGTTTTGAAGATAGTATTGGGCAGAATATTTAGCCAACTATGGGTGTTGTTTTTTTTGTTCCTAAAAACTCCTAGTACTTCATGCTACGAAAATGGAGACAAGTGCCAGCCCGATGTGCCACTAGGCTGGTATGTCTAGACTATACCTAGGTTTGATTCTTCTTTTTCCTCAGGCATTCATGGAGCGACTTGGTCTGTGGGGAGATGGGACAGCATTCAAGTCATTTGATTCTTTTCTAACCAGCATCAGTAAGAGAGGACTCGGTAAGATTTTAATTTGCGGTTTTGTTGTCTAGCCTGTAGATTCGTAACCTAAGTGCTACATGTATGTAACATGAGCCAAGTGAAAGTAACATACTCGACAATTTGGATCCAGACCTGCACATTTGGTGTTCAATGTGCATTGGACCACTGACCCACCCAAAATATAACTTTGCTCTGTATTAGCTTTTTGAATTTGAAGTAGTCTCTTTTGAGGGTCCAGGTTACGTCTCAAGGGGGCCAGTTTGCTGAACCCTGACTGGGTTCATTGTTTTATGTTCTTGGCCATGACATGTTATTATCAAAGCGCCTTTCTTCACCCAGGTGTACAAATGGATGGCAGCAAATTTAGTGCTGGGGTAACCCTTTGATGGACTAGCATCGCATCCAGGGGGAATAGAAGTACTGCTAGTTGCTTAATGATTTGAAAAGCTCAATAAGCTCTGGCAGTATGGACCACATGGCCTGATGGAGACTTTACCTACTCTTAATTTATGCAACCAACCTACCTCAGGCTCTTCACTTTAAGTGGAGCATAGGCCATCAACAACTCTCCTCCATTTCACTCAACTCTGGGCTGTCCTTTCTGCCTCGGACCAGGTGGTGCCACTTCTCTTTAGTTCTGACTCAGTGTCACACCTCCAGCTATGTCTGAGCCAGCCCCTCTTTCTCTTCCCCCATGGGTTCGGCGGGGTCCAAGTCAGTGCCAGGGGAGTGATGTTTATTTATGCAACAGTGGGGACAAAATCAAAACCGATCAGTGAACCTTCATTTGCAGAAATGCACATGTACCATACTACATGTATATTATGAACACTTTCATGTCCATTTCATTAATCTTTATATTTTAGGTGCTGCTGAAATGTTAGCTATGGAGATGAAGGCATCTGGAATGTATGTCTCCAGAGGACTTAGCTTCAGACAAGCTGAGGTATAAGAATATTATTGCACTGAATGTTATTAAAATGGATATCTGCTAAATAACTGGCCATAAAATGAAAACAAAACAAAACAAAAGTTTATTTGAGATTCATGGTGTCTATGTCACCTTAGCTTGGTAATTTTTCAAGTTTTACATTTGGGTTAAGCAATATAATTTGTACAAATCCTCAGCTATTTTACTGTGTATAGTAATAGATGTACAGCAGGGGTTTCATTGAAGGCGGGACACCAGGCAAATGAACTGGCTGTGAGGATGATTTTGCCTGACTGGTTTGACATGCTAGAGAAAAGTTTTTCTTATAAAGAAGTTATTTTCAAAAAGTTTGGCTGCCTTTGAAAACCAGTTGCCCTCTTGCTGAAAACAGTAATGAAAGCCCTGTTAACAATAATATTGAGCTTTGGTACTTCAAACTCTGATAGGAAGAGAAAATCAGTTTCAAACAGCAGCGGTTCAAAATAAGCAGGTCAATTTTGAATATGAAAAAATAATCAATAATAATTAATTCACCATAAACAGAATGGAATGAAATATTTTATTGACCAAGAGTAGGAAAGGAACATCCTATAGACAAGACTAAAGCATGGTGAAAAGATCAAATTTCCATATCCCAGCTTTAATTTTGTGACATAATGATTGTTTTTGTTTTTTCAACTTTGTTTTGGAAGCTTGAAAGTTAGTTCGAAATAGCCAAATTTGATACTAAGCTTAAATGACTGTAAAAGTAAATCGCAGGGAAATGGATCTAAGTTTGAAGTAAGTTAGGGAAGTTTGAATTATCTGAGTTCAAATCAGCTATGTCCAAGGTTTATTATTTTGTGCCTCATGTTGTATCTATGTTTTTCATATTTTTTTCTTCAGTTTGTTAATGTAGAGGCTCCTTTAACAGCAGATCAGATTAAAGTTTATGACACAGCAGTTCATGTTTGGTAAGCATGCAGCAATCAGTTTCCATTTTCTCATTACTATCTGATAACAACTCAAAGGAGGTAGGCTTTGAGAATGAAGGACCTGACCATATTCTCAAATCCTAGTGGGATGTCAGCTTTTCTTTTTGTAGTAAGTCATGTTGTCATTCTCTTTCCAATCCAAGGAGTGAGTTAAAGAAGTCACTTGAATATGCCATTGGTCGAACTACAACTTCCACACCAAGAGTATGGTCAGTGTTCTGGTCCAGTCATCAGAGGTTCTTCAAACAACTCTGGTGAGTATTGGTGCCCCCACAGTTGGTGCACTCAACTTTGTATCAAGTGGTTAGGGTTCAAGCCCTGGACGGGGACTCATGTTTTGTTCTTGGGCAAGACACTTTCCTCTCACAGTGCCTCTCTCCACCCAAGTGTATAAATGGTTACTGGCAGATTTAATGCTGGGGGTAACCTTGGGATGGACTAGCATTCCATCCAGGGGGGAAGTAGAAATACTCCTAGTCCTTCTTGCTACAGAAACCAGAGAAAAGCACCGGCCTGATGGGCTGCTTGGCAAGCATGCTGACTTTACTTTACCTCTCCTATGCGTAACAGTATAAGTATACTCTAAGAGTATGATCCAGACAGTTAGTTTTAAATTTGTGTTGGGTTGCCAACCATACACTGTAAGTGAGTGTGGGGAAGGGGTGGAGTTGGGGTCTTTTAGAATAGAGAGATGTGGGCTTTTGTTCAAAGAAAAATTTGTCTTTAAGTGCATATAGCTGAAACATATTTCATTTCCTTTTTTGATCTATTGCACAGTATGAGTATGAAAGTACCTACTATTGTACAGGAGGCCCAGCAAGCGCTACAGGACAGCTACTGTGTAGTGATTGGTCTGCAGTCCACTGGAGAGGTTGGTTTAGCTTGTTTGGAAAAGAACTGAACAAACCCAGCTCAAGAAAATGATTACAGAAATAATTGTTTCAGTTAAATTCCGATTTCTTGAATACTCCTGATAACTCAAACCAGAAGTTGTTTTCCTCCCGACCCTTGAGTCTAACTTCTCGATTTTTCAACCAATTTTCGATTCCCTTGGAGGTTCGAGAAAGTGGGATTCACTGTATGTTCAGTTCTGGTGTTTTTTGATGAACAAGCTAACAACCATCATTCTTCATTAAATAAATTACAATATTTAGAGAGCAAGCCACATCAGCCTTAGCTGGTTTTCATGCAGGTCCTCTCTCCTGGTCCAATTGGAATTTGGACATGTTGGTTTTTGTGGAGGGAGGAAAACTGGAGAACCCGGAGAAAAACCTTCGAAGCAAGGCGAGAACCAACAACAAACTCAACCCACATATGGCACCAGGGGCACCTCGAGGGGGCACCTCGAGGGTCCCGAAAAGTTTTCACACCCGAAAAGCCATAGCAAAATCTCAAACTTTATGACGTCAGAGCTGTTTTTTGGACATTCTTAATATAAACAGAGGCACTTTTCATAAAAGAAGTTTCAGGCGTATACACCTCTCTGTCTTTAATACCGATGAACAAAAACTGGCTTTGCAGGGCCCGAAAAGTTTCCGGGGCTTTCGAGAAATGGGCGCCAGGCCTGAATTGAACCCAGGCCACATTGGTGGAAGGCGAGCACCTGTGTGCCATCCCTGCTTCCCTCAGTATTCCTTCTGCCCTCAGGATTTCTACTTTTTGTGTGCACAAGTTAACTGCCAATTCTATATCACGGCTAAGAACTGTCTTACGTTTTTTTTTTTTTTTTACAGTTTTGATTTATTTTCATCTCATTGTGTTTTGTGTTGTGTTTTTTTTTCTAGGCGAGTTTAGAAAGTGAAATAACACGGTGTGGTGGAGTATTGAATGGTTTTATTTCCAGCACAGAAGAAATCCTCTCTCGGTTTATCACACAATATTTTCCAACTCAGATAATCAAATCGGTAAGTTGTTCCATGTTCTAAAACATTTGAATTCAACCAACATTGAGTTGATTTTATTATTCCACTATTACGCCATTATTAGGTCAGGAGAACGCGCAAAATATGAGCCCGCATTGCAGTGTAGAGTCCCGTTTCCCTTTTCTATTATTATTTTTGTCGTGTATGTACCAAGGGTAGGAGAATTTGATTGCCAGTATATAACTTTGAGGTGGGTCATTTCAAACATATTTTGGCCCAGGAGATGGGAATTAGTCCCAACTAGAAATTCAAAATATAAAATACCCGGGAGAGAGGGGGATTGCCCAGGAGGGATGTCGAAGTTTTGAATTGACTGATGCATTATGTTCAGTTGACCGCCTACGTATTCATGGACGTTCACTACACTGTGGGTACTCACTTGTACATCAATTTTAGTAACCATGCTGCCAAAGTTGAGTTGATCATTTTGTTGTTGTTGTTGTTGTTGTTGTTGTTTAGAATGGCGATGTAGTTGAAGATCAGTGGAGCATCCAAGCAAAGAATCTTCTGTTAACGTTTGTCAGGAAAATTAATCTTCCAATTAGGTTTGTACTGACATGTTCAGCCTGGCATATACAGGGCTTTTACCATCTAAGCTACAAAGGGCGCTGTTTCCATCTCACCGTAGAAAGATTTTCCACAACATTTTGCAGTGCTTTGCGATTTGAAAGAACAGTAAAAGAAACGTGTACAATTTGAAAAGTGAATACAGTATAACATTACAATTAACAGGAAAATTAGATTTTTTTGGTAAACAGTAAAAATGTGTTGAGAATTTGAGGTAGAATGGTTCCATTATTGTGCTTACTCTTCTCTATCCTTTACCATACTTGTTCCTATATGGATTATTATTAACTTTTTAGTGTTTTTCTATCTTGCTAAACTACTATTTTCAGGTTTCCTTGAATTTAAAGGCCAAAATAACTCAAAATGCCGTGACTGAGCTCCTTTTGCCTTTTCTTTTTTCCAATTCCCAACCTATATAAAAACGGTTTTTTTTAAAATTATTTGCACGCCTTTAATATGTATTGTAACACTTTTTCTTCCCCAGTCCCCTTGATGACCTCATAAACCAACTAGGGGGACCAGGGAAAGTAGCAGAAATGACTGGTAGACGTGGTCGCGTGGTAAAAACCGATAAGCAACCTCAACCTCATTACGAGGCTCGAGAATCAGACAGCAGCAATGTGGACAGTTTAAATATTCAAGAGGTGAGAGCTATGGTGTAGCACAACTATCAGCTGGTGTCTTCCTTATGGCTATCGAATCTGAATCCCAAGCAAGCGCTCTGGGCTTTTTTTTTCGACTTGTTTCTCTTCAGCGAAAAGGCGCTAAACTGCTGCGTTTTATTAGTCTCCGGCTTCCATCCGCACCATTTTAAACATCAGAACTCGACTGCCCTGTCAGAAGTGTTGGGCTTAATCTTGCAACGTGTTGCATCTACGGAAACTTTTAACGCTGTAATGCTGTAGCATTTACATTGTAAATAGTCCTTACAAAGTTACGTCTCAAAAGGATCCGATCGCGGACAATTTGCATCTCTTGCTTTCATAGCTGGAGCGAAAAATAGCTTGTTGTGTTCACTGTTGTAGCATGTGCTCAGGTCTTTTATTTTTACTAATTTCATATTCTTATTTTAGAGAAACAGCTTCATGAATGGAACAAAGCACGTAGCTATTATATCAGATGCTGCTAGCACCGGTGAGTTGCATTCAGTAGAACTGCTAAGTATGGGTAAACAGAAAACCAATTACGCTTACAATCGTCGGGTTTTGACTTGTTTGTTTTATCGAGAAATTTCGCGCTAAACTTTGCCATTGGAATTTTGGTAATTTCACATGTGAAATTATAAATTAACGCCGAAATTTCGCGCCACAATCAAAGATTAATTTGTCTCCCATGATATTAGTTTGATTATTAAGAATCAGTTTATGAACTCGAGATTTTTATGACGTGATAATTGATGAGGCCGAAGGCAGCTGTAGTTGGAACTTGCCGTCGTGCACGTGCGCTCATCGGTTCATCAAAAAATTTTGAGGTTTTAACGAAGTCGCATAACGGTTAATTTCCTTTTTTAGTATTCTAGGGAATTTAATTATCCAGTAATGTTTCTAATCTTCCTCGAAGCATCAGAGAAACCTTTAAACGTTGCCGTTATATGAACGTACTTCAGTCTCTGCACACCAACGACTGATAGTGTGCGAGCTCAGCCAATCAGATTGCAGCATTTGCATTAGTATACTAGTAGAATGAGCAAGTGAAAATAGAAGGCCCCAACAAACCGCACATCGGCAGAATGAAGAATCAAACAATATAGCCAAAGACTTTGTCTTTATTTGTTGATTTGTCCGTTACAGGAATCTCATTGCATGCTGACCTCCGAGCAGCCAATCAGTGTCGTCGTGTTCATGTGACAATTGAGTTGCCATGGAGTGCTGACAAGGCTGTTCAGCAGCTGGGAAGATCACATCGGTCAAACCAAACGAGGTATGAACCCTTTCTGAAGAGTGCCAAACTTCAAAATTGAAAAACGTCCCGAATGATGCTTTGCAAAGTATTGGACATCCTAATTAAAAATACCATATTAAGTACCAGTCAATAGCTTTTGAATGGTCACACACTAGAGTTTGATGTGAAGTATATATGAAATAATTCATATATGATTTCAGATTTCAGATTTTTTATTAATTGACACTATTTACAGACATATTTCACTATCACACACTATTACAAAAAATTCATTAATTAAAATAAGGAAAA